CAGTTAAGCATCTGCCTTCAGCTCAGGTCATGATCTTGGGGTCCAGCCCCATACTGGGCTCCCTGCTCAGCAGGAAGCTTGCTTCTCCCTCTCCCTCTGACTCTCTCTCAGGTTGCGTGCTCTCTCTGTCAAATAAATAAATCTTTAAAAAAGGAAAAGGTAAAGAAAAAGAGAAAAAGAAATCTCTATGGAAAAAGAGATTTAACTGTCTTTGTATTATTTTTTTTTCTATCCATAGTTACTTGTTTAACATATTTGAAGAATGGAAAAAATATTAGCATTCAATTAATAAAATCCTAAACTGCTTAACATAAGCAATTTACCCTCAGCAGAGGTAAACACCCTAGACTTGGGTCTATATATTACTTGGGCTTTAAATCACTTTTAGGCTGGCTAAGCAATGTAACCAAGACCAGGGTTCTAAGATAGAACCTCACTTTCTATGTAATCCTTACCTAATAACTCAGTTTCTTTTGGAGGAAAAGTATACCAATTCTAAGTTTATAAGGGGTTGACCACTTAACAGTAATTCCAATGCCTTATACCAATTTCTCTGAAACTTAAGGCAATATGTGGCATTACTGTCTGTGTTGAAATTACCTACCCAAATCCCTCTCATCTTTTGATCCATACTTTGATTGCTCAATTGTAGCACATCTTGTTCTGGTGGGCATATACAGTTTTTTTTCCTGTTTTAAAAAAGTTCAAAAGAATTTAATGGTCATGAAGAAAAGAGTATTACTATTTGATTTCAAATTGGGCAAAAAGCCTTACATGGACATGTCTATGACAGAGTCTGTCATGACACAAAAGCTTAGCAGAATCTATTAAGTATATACCTATGATATCTCAATATCTTGCACTGTTTCCTAGTCCCCTCTGCATTAATTTTTTTTGCATTAATATTTTTTATTGCAAAACTCCAACACAATTTTATTTCCAATTTAAGATGGAGGTGGGAAGCATTCATTTAAGAATCCACAATATCCAATCTGGATAAGAGATCCACGTAGTGAAAAAAGATGCCTAAAAGTTTCACTAATACTACTTCAAATGATTTGGGCTTTTTCTCAGAGTTCAGTAGAGTATGGAAAATTAAAATGCAATGAAAAGATACCAAGTACATTACTACTTAATTCCTTATTATGCAGAGTATAAGCTTTCCTTGGAATGTTTCCTTTTTCTCTCAAAATGACAGGTAAAAAGGATATAGTCCTACTAACTATTGAAAATGTAATTACTTCTTCAACATTAAATGAAGGTTCATAAATATATGTTAATCTTCAAATAAAGTGATAAAATCTTATCTTCTGACATACCCAGTTATGCATAACAGAAAATTTCTCCACAATCCACAAATGTGACTTCTACAGGCTATTAAAAGCTATCCCCTTATAGTCCTTAAAAAAAAAAGATGGATTTTATTCCTTATAAAAGAGCTTATGTCAACAAGTGATCTTATGTACTTAGCATTACAGACTTTATTTCAAAATACAGATGTTCTATCAGCACCACAACCAATAGATAATGACACATGTAAAGTTAGCAATGCTTTATGTTTTATCTACCCCTGGCTGTCAGAGATTTAATACTTAAAAAAGAAAAGAAGGAATAAAAAATTTCTTAAAAGTTAAAAAACATGCCATATTTGAAAAAATTAAGTTAAACTATGGTCAACTTTCAAATAACAACATATTTCATATAAAATTAAGAAAATGCTCAGAAAGGATCTTTCTATCTAGAACAATCCCTTGAGAACTTCTTGACACCCTGATCACTCCAATACACCACACTCCTGCAGCTCTTACAGTAAGTTTTCTCAATAGAGGCCTGTGTTTGAATATATATTTGTGATTATTTCCTGGCGTTCCTCCTCACGTTTTACCACTCCTTCCAAGAATTAAAACACAAAAGATTTCATTTCTTCTTAGGACTAATAGCACAGTAATTTAAAGAATCTGTTGAATGCATGACATCTCCTTACTTTTTCACTTTTAAGCCATTTAACACTACTGTGACACTGCCAAATTTAAATGCTGAATCTATTTCCTAAAGGCAACTGGACTGCTTAGAACTTTATGAAATATGATACAAATTTATTAAATGGAAAAGATTTAATTGTTATCTCATCAGATACTTTTTCCCAGGTTGATACTATTATAATATAATCACCACACTATATTTTTAGGGTTTTTCTCAATAACCTGAAAACAACTTTATGGACCCATCATCCAACTTACTGAATTTTTTTTTTTAAGATTTTTTTATTTATTTATTCATGAGAGACAGGCAGAGGGAGAAGCAGGCTCCATCCAGGGAGCCCGACGTGGGACTCGATCCCGGGCCTCCAGGATCAGGCCCTGGGCTGAAGGTGGCGCTAAACCGCTGAGCCACCCAGGCTGCCCCAACTTACTGAATTATTAAGTATAAATCAGCACCTTGGTGAGAAGGATAACACATTTTACTGATAAAGAAACCACAACAGCACACAATTTGCTCAAAATGATAATGAGTTGTAATGAACCAGAAACTCCATTTCTCTACCATTACTTTCAAGTGAAATAGAAAATTATATTTTAATGAGTGGCACCAGTTGGTTGACCAGACTGACTCTTGCTTTTATTTTAGCTCAGGTTATAATTTTGCTATCTCATGAGATCAAGCCGCATACTGGGTTCTACACTCAATGTGGAGACCTCTCGGGACTGTCTCTCCCTCTCCCCTGCATCTGCATGGGCACAAGATATTTCTCTCTCTCTTAAATAAATAAATCTTATTTAAAAACTACTTAATGAATATTTTTGAAGAGCTACACACACACACACACACACACACACACACACAATTTTAATCTTATTCATATGTGACACACATCTTCTGAAATGCGGTTGCCTTCTCCCTAAGAGTATCTATTCAAATCTCTCTTGTCCAGACCATTTTCACTATTCCTTGTCAAAAGACTTGAACAGGTATTAACATCTGGCTTAAACAATACTTGCTGACTCTCACAGAGCAAATAAGAAAGTATTTAGGAAAGTCTTACAGTCCTAATTCCCTTACCTACTTATATATACTACCTCATGTCACAAAATCCACCATCTATATTAAGAATTCACAGCTTTCAGTCTAAAATCTTGTCATCCTTTCCACTAGAACAGTGAACCATGTTTAGTCAATTTCCTGTTTCCTTCACCTTAACCAATTGCCTTCAGTCAAAAACGTTTTCTCCTTTCTCTACCTAATTTTATTTTCCCCCAAGTCTCAGGACCTTGAAAGATAGGTATTATTCTCACATACAAATTCCTCCTCTATTTATGCTACTTCTCTTTTTTCTAACTTCTTGCAACAAGCTTTTCAAGCCCATTCCTTTTCATTGGTTCTGAAACAGCTTTTTTAATACATATTATCAAAAATAATTCAATGAAACTTTCTGAGAAACGATGCAAACTATTCTAGCATGAGTGTAGGAAGATCAATGGTCTTTTGCCCTGTTATGCTTCCTGTTTGGTAAGAAAGAAAGGCACAAGCAAATAATTTCAAAATTGCACAGTACTCATTAAAACCCAAGTATACTCTGAGTGCTAGAGAAGCACTTGCTTCAATCTAGAAGCCAGGAGAAATATTCTAAAGTCAGAAGCTCCTGAACTAAGTCTTACTTAGGTAAGGTAAGGTAATTAGGCTAGGGTGTAGAGGCTACAGGGGATTGTAGACAGAAGGAACAACAAGTGTAAAGACCAAAGAAATTAAATAGCACTGAGTGGATAAGAACTCCAAACCATCCTGAATTATCACAGTATAAAGTGAGAAGAGAAAAACAACAGAAAATGAAGTTAAAGATATAGATAGGGTCCAAACCACAGTTTGTCTTGAACTTAGACATAAACAACTGGGTCTGTCTCACATAAATAAAACTTCTTCCATCACTTATTACCTATGTGAGGTTAAGAGTATTTCAGCTTTGGCTGACATAAGATCATTTGTGAACAAAAATATTAAGATTACCCTGAAAATACAAAATTAAAATATTTTTAAAAACATTAAAATAATCTTTACTGACAATACTTAAAACAACCATATGAATCTGTTCTTCCTAGTTGTTTCTTAAATTTGAGAAAGTCTGTAAACAATATCAGAGGGGCTGGTTCAGTCAGTAGAGCAGGTAACTCCTGATCTGAGGGTTGTGAATTTGAATCCCATGCTGGGTGTAGAGACCACTTAAAAATAAAATCTTTTAAAGAAAAAATCAGAAATTCTCTTCAAATACAAGTTAGTAATGAAACTTCTCAAATACAGAATGTATAAATATCTTTTATTTTATAAAATTAATACATTTTACATGGTGTAGTTATTACACCATAATGAGATATAGAGGAAACTAAACATATTTTGAAAAATTCAGTACTATATATAAGCATGAACTATTCACACTATAAAGAAAAAGTCGTATCCCACATAAAACTTTCCATATGTATGTATATATGTGTATATGTCTGTGTGCATATGTATGCTTACTTTGTTACATAGTAATATACGTTTTTCTAAAATCTTCATTTTGGGGAGGGGCAAGGATTGAGGGAAGGAAAGTTCTGTTAAGTGGAAAACCTATCAATAACTAGAAATAATAGCTCCCCTTCAAAAATAATACTAAGGCCTCTAACAACACTTAAAAGCCAAAAGAAATGTTTGTGCCCATGTAAAATCCTGGAAATGTTTGTTTCTTTCATGAATAACACTTGTTCTGTATTTGAGTACAATTGAGTATTAAATAAAACGCTCTATGAAAGGATATATAACTTAAATACAATCTTTTATACCTGAACTGGAGAAAACACTGATGCAGCTAATAAAAATGTATATTCTTTGCAACTACACTAAAAAGAATCAAGGTTAAAGTCAAGTAGTCTTTGTCCTTTGCTTCTGCTTAAACAAAATTAATATATTCCCAAGGAAGTTTTTCATTACATTCTTATTAAAGCATTGAGAAAGAGAAGTAAACTTACTTGTGTCTGCTTGGCTTCCCACACTGATGTATCTATCGTTGCCAGGGAGTGCTGTTTGGTAGTAAGTTGTCTCCTCCTGCTGAGGGGTCTTGGCATTCTTTGCAGTAAGGAAAGCCACTGCCAATTCCAAGTTTCCATTACTATCCTTCAAATATCAAGAACAGAACATCAAACATTTTAGAATAACTCCATATATTCTCACATGATTTAATTTTCTCCATAACAACTAATACTTAATAGCAAAATTCACTTTCAGATTTGAAATCATTCTATGTGATCCTAATTTTATAAACTGATCATAAACAAAGTACATTCTATCAACAGAAATTCCTTTTTCTATTTAGACTACTGATCTAAGAATTCTATAATTTCTTCATTTCCAATTATTTTCATTTCTCCTTAACAAAAGTCAATCACAGAATTTATGCTTCCAAACAAACTAAAAAATGTTTTCTGGAACTTGCTATACAAAAGGATGAAAATGAGTATTTGAAACAGTACCTCTGCAAAGAAGAGCTATAAAGGATATTCCCTTTAATATGGATGCTAAATGCATACCTAGTGGCAAACTTAAGCAAATGTCAGACTTGTAGGTGGAAAACAGCAAAACATTCTGAAGCTTGATAGTACAGAGAGACACATAGAATTGGACAGAAATACTCAATCCTATCATAGGATGACAATCATACCTAAGATGATTGGGTGACTATCATACCCAAATTAAGTATATACATTTTATGGAGTTCTCATCAAAAGCATTTCTGGGCAAAATTATTCTGAAGTTAATTTAGAAGAAAACAGATGCTAGAAAACCAAAAATATTTTTAACAGCACAATAATGACAAGAGACATGACCAGTTCTATCTATATTCTCTGTAGAGTTAATAATAAATATAACACTAGCTCTGGGACAACTAATTGAAACAACATTAGGAAACCCAGATATTAATAATGAAGCGATCTCTGTAACAGAAGGCCAGAACACCTAAGACTATGCAGGCCTCATGAACTTTAGCATACACAGAGATGGTAATAGGAAGTCAGTGGAGGGTTTTGGACAGAAATGACATGGTATGACTTAGATTTTAAAAGGATCACTCTGGCTGTGTGTTGAGAATAGATTATAGGATAGAAAGGGGTAAAGCAGAGAGTCCAACATTATTTGCTATCACATTAAATGTGGGAGGTGACAGAAAAAGAAAGATCAGGATGATTACAAGATGTGAGACCTGAGCAACTGGAATGGAATAATGAGGTTCCCAACCCACCCCAACTCCAGTTCTAGTTAGCCAGGGAAGAGAGAAAAAAAAAGTAAGAGTGCAGTTGGAAAAGTACCACTGCTTTAAAACTTTATATCACAGTCATTATAATACTCTTAAATGACTCACCAAAAATATGCATATAATATAATCTACAGCTTGAAAAGTAAAATAGTTGTGAAATAATTTGCAATAACAATGGATACATTTATCGACCACTTAGTATGTGCCAAGAAATGTGCTGAAGTGCTTTTTATATATTACCGTATATAATAACAATAAATTGAATGCAACAGGGATTTACACAACATAAAGATCGCTTACTTTGGAAGGCTAAAAATAGATTCTTCAAATAAAAGTACTGAAATCAGTGACATTCCCAAAAGTAGATTCCTTGGCAGTGCATTACTGAGAAAGTCAACTCATTACTAAGCATCTTACAAATGTATAATAGGAAATGGTTAAAGTTTAAGTACATTGCCCCCACCATCACCACCAACAACTACTAGTAACTGAAACCAAAGTTTAAAAAATCAAAAACAAAAGTAGCACACAACTTACCTCAAAGAAAATGTAGATAATAGGTAATTTGATTAATCCTTTATGTTCATTTAACTAAACATATTTTACATGTTTCCCAGGTTAAAACAGGAAAAGTAAATTCCCCAAACTTGACAAGGTAATGGGGATAGCCCCACACTCAGATATATAGAATGGTAAAGGCACTTTCTGAAAACACCTTGGAGTGACTGAGTCATATTTACCAGAATAAAGAAAGGACTGGCAATCATCTAAATGTCATAATCATAAAAACTGAGATATGGCTTTTTTTTTAAGATTTTATTTATTTACTCATGAGAGAGACACACACACACAGAGAGAGAGAGAGAGAGAGAGAGAGAGACAGGCAGAGGGAGAAGCAGGCTCCATGCAGGGAGCCCTACATGAGATTCATTCCCGGGTCTCCAGGATCATGCCCTGGACTGAAGGCAGGGCTAAACTGCTGAGCCACCCGGGCTGCAGAGGTATGACATTTTTGTTTCCTCTCCAAATACTCACAGTTGCTTCATAAACCCTGCATTAATACTCTCAACATTACTATTTCATCATTTTCCTAACAGGAAAAAAAAGGCTGAAGCAGAGCTTGTAGCAGGATTAGGTTGCTTGGTTTCTATTCAGCTCCTCCACATACCAGCTGTGTGATCTCACTCAAGTCACTTTAAAGTGTTTCCTTATCTTTTAAAAGGTGTTATCTATGAAAGGTAACACCTACCTCAATAGAGTTACTAGGAGAATGTCAGCCACATAAAATACTTTGTATATCACCTATAGGTCCTAAATAACTGCTAGTTATTATTATCATGATTACAATCACCTCAAAGATTATTTCTAGAAACAAATGAAGAACTTTTGGACTGGAATCAAAAATTACAATTAAACTTATCTCACGGAGCAAGTTTCAAATGACTGAAATTCTATGTATGCCTTACAACAGCAAAAATACTATATTGCTGGTAGCCTTTAGTAGCAAAATAGAAATAACTTTAAAGTGCAGTTCTAGTTCTTTTTTTTTTCCCCTAGGATTTATTTATTTGGGGTGGGGGTTGGGGGGAGAGGTACAGAAAGAATCTCAAGACTCCCTCACTGAGCAATGAGCCTGATGCAGGGCTGGATCACTTTTGAATGTTCCTAAGGTACAATGAGTTAAATTTTAGCTAGGTTTTAATTCTTCTTGGAAGAAAAAAAATATAGTTTCTTACCCTCTATTAATTTTCTCTCTCCTCTCCCTACCCATATTACTCCATCCCAACCCACCCTATACCCTCATTTAAACTCTAATATCATAGCTCTTGAGTACCATCAACCATCACATTTGGATTCATATCCTTCCATTTTCCATAAATAGTGTTCCATATGGAGGAAGATTATCTGTCACTCCAAGGTACTTGGAACATTAGGCTGCTAAAAACTAATATGCTCAACATTACATCCTAAGTAAGGATTTTACATTATAAAAGTTCTTTCCTATTTCTACTACTATACCACAATACGTAAATAAAAACCTTTCAAATATGGAAGGCAGTATAGATGAGGGTGTAACATAAATTGTATGCCATGAAACAGAGGTCATACCTTCAAGGCTTGCTGTAGTATCTGGGCATCATTAATCCCAGTGATTTCTCTCAGCTGATTCAAAAACGTCTGCTGGTGCTAGAGGAGAAAAACCGAAATCATTACCCTTTAAAATCTGAGAATATACAAGGATAAGAAAATAAGTGGCCTCTGGGTTTAAAAAAAAAAAAAAAAAACAGAAAACACAAACTAGTACAGAGAAGAAAAAATACAGAACTTGACAAAGACCCAACAAATTTCATTATTTTTTATTATTTATTTATAAAATTATTATAAACCATGCTGTAAGGAGGCCATACTCCATTCTCCTGTTTCCAAAGGGAACTTCTGCATTATTTCCCAAGAATTCTTACCTAATTAACAGTTTCTGGCCCATTCTTCACTGCCTAATTTATTCTTCCCAACAAGAAAAAGGAGTGATTATGTACAATGGTTAAGCCTAAAAAGAATTAAGGAAAACAGTTTTATCTATTGGGCTCTCTTCATTAGGGCCTGAGGTCACTGAATGAAATCCTGGCAGCTCTAGCATCTCTCCCTACCCCTAGGGTCAGCCAGCATCCATTCACCTAGGATGTTTGAAAAGACATGCCAAAGGACAGGCCTTGCTCCAGGTATGTATATTATATCACGGGGATTCTAAGAAGATGATCATCTCACTCTCTAGTGTCATAAAAGCTCCTAAGCAAAATTAATCACTTGCCTGCGTTTGCTACAGATCTGTTGGTCTTTGTGATCTATTATACCCTATTAGAAAAAGAAAAAGAGGGATGGGATTCCACTACCAAACACTTCCCTGAAGATCCCTAATTAAGAACCATGTTCCTTCCTACATCTCCATATTTTTTTTAAGATTTTGCTTATTTACTCATGAGAGAGAGAGACAGAGAGAGAGAGAGAGAGAGAGAGAGAGAGAGAGAGGCAGAGACACAGGCAGAGGGAGAAGCAGGCTCCATGCAGGGAGCCCAATGTGGGACTTGATCCTGGGTCCCCAGGATCAGGTTCTGGGCGGAACGCAGGCACTAAACCACTGAGTCACCCAGGCGTCCCATCTCCATATTTCTTAAAACAAGTTCCCCCAAACTGTTAGCACTATGAAATAGAGAAATCTCAATGAAAAAGAAGTCATCACTAGAATAAACGAATCTAAAAGAAAAAAAAAATAGAATAAAAGAATCTGATGAAATCTTTCTCGAAAATGTTTTACATTCATCTTAGTTATAATCCAGTCAAGAATCATCAATGGATGATAAAACCCACAGGATGAAAGTGTGATGAAAAGCAGGATAGTTACATAGTTTCAAACTCTCTTCCTACAAATTATAAAGGGAGAAAAAGTGTAACTTTATAATGAAGACACATGACACATACCACCTTAATCAAATAATCAAATTTAATATTACCCATAATGGGATAAAATGACAGTATATGCCTCCCAATGTTGTATGATACACCAAGAAGACAGTATCACCTCCAGTATTCCTGACCATAATGCATAACCTGAATGTAAACTTGTTGAAGCATCAGACAAATCCAAACTAAGGGACATTTTACAAAATAATTACTATACTATCTTTAAAATTTCTGTATCATAAAAGACAAAGAATGAGTTTCCAGGTTAAAGGGGGCATGAGAGTCAAACATAATGTGGGAAACCAAACTGCATCTAACTCTAAGTGCTATACATTACTGGAACACTGGAGAAATAAGAATATGAACTGCTTAGTATTTTATTAATATTAAATTCCTGAATTTGATACCTGCACTATAGTTAGGTAAGAAAATAGCTTTTTCTTAGGAAACACACCCTGAAGTATTTAAGTTTTAAAGGGGCATTGATGTCTGGAATTTACTCTCAAATCATTTAAAAAAAAAAAGTAGAAGTACTTTGTACTAATCTTGCAACTTTAAATTTAAAATTACATCAAGGGATGCCTGGCTGGCTCAGCAGTTGAGAGTCTGCCTTTGGCTCAGGGCAAGATCCCAGAGTCCTGGGATCCAGTCCCAGTTGGGGCTTCCTGCAGGGAGCCTGCTTCTCCCTCTGCCTATATCTCCACCTCTCTCACTGTGTCTCTCATGAATACACAAATAAAATCTTTTAAAAAAAAATAAGATCACTTCAAAATAAGGTTTTAAAATATACTATGTACAAGTTTGTTAGAATTGTTAGATGTGCATTTCAAAATATTCTTGACAATTTAAATATATGTTACGTATATACCTTCAGAGTTGACGGGTCCCGAACAAATTACAAAATAAAATGAAGAATAATTAAGAAACAATTTGAAAATCAGGTTTGAGGTAACTTACACCTAAATATCTTTATAGAAACCACACGTAGAAGTTAGAAATTATATTCAACTACATGTACCAAAATCCCATCCAAATAGTAACTTCAACATACTGCAGCGTCTGTTTTTTCTAATATAATTAGACTGGGGGTGGGCAATCCAGATCTGATAAGGCCTCCCACATGTCAAAAGGATCTAAGCTCCTTCTGTCTTCCCACTAAACACTATTATATGTGACATTCGTCAAATGTCTGTCATTCCATGTCTCGTCCTCACGCATCCTGTCCAAGCTCTAGGTACGATAAAAGGAAGGGCATAAGACAAAGGGCATAAGCCAAAACATTCTGACATATTTAAGAAGCCCCATCTAGTGACTTCTACTTAAAACTTCATTGAGCAGAAGAAAACTGCATGGCCACTCATAGTTCAAAGAAAGTTGGGAAATGTATTTTTCAGCTAGGCAAAAAGCCACTTTGAAAATGAAATCAAGGCTCTGTGAGGAAAAGTAAAGAACATATACTAGATAAGCAAGGCAGTATCTACCATGCCATCCATAAACTATCATTTCCAATAACCTTATTAAAGAGATGAAATAACCAAGACTATCTAACAATAAAATAAAAATAATAATGTATACAAACAAGGTCATATAAAATCCCAGGACGAATAAAATAGTTAAGTAAAAAAATCAAGTTGCCAAACTTAACAAAGTAAAAAGGGAATTCTCTTTAAACATGTCAATTTTTCTATGTTTATTTAAAATATTACTAATGACTAGTAATGGAAACATGACTAAGTTACTCAATACTAAACATCACAAATTAAAGATGTAGAAAAATTTTACAGAAATTCTTCTCATCTAATTCAAGGTTTCATTTCAGTGAACAACAACAAAAAAAAAAAAAAAAAAAAAAAAAAAACCCAGAAGATTTTATATGTCTCTATGTAATCTCCCCAACAATAGCACTCCAAACTCCATTCTTTACACTGAGCATTATTTCCCTCAACTGCAAATTACCTGGTCATGGCATAGAGAAAGACTACTGTACACCTCCCCCAAATCAGTCATTATACAAATGTTGTCAGCTATTACATATAATACTGGAAAAATGTAAACAATACAAATGTCCTTCCACTACGGAAGAGGTTCTAAATTTTAACGTACAGAAGAATGACCTGATGAGTTTGATAACAATCAAGATTCTCAGGTCCTAGCCCCACAGAATGTGATTCCAGAGGGATCAGGGTGAAGGCTAAGGGATCTGCATTTTTAATAAGCATCTCAGATTATTTTTATACAGGTGGACCTAGAGGCACAGTTTGAGTCAACCAAACTGAATATTTTTAAATAGCAAATATATAACCTATATTGAAACTATCTTCCCAAAATCAATATTATGCTAAAGTGATGGAACACAAAATAGTATACACATTAATGACAAAGTAAAATGTAACAAATGTAAATGTGTTAATGTAATTAAACACAAATGTAAAGCCCAGAAAGGATTGCAGGAGCCTGTGTTAGACTCCCAATTCTCTTATCTCTATATCCACACCCTTTACCACTTTTCACTTCCTCTCACTAGAAAGACAATTTATTTCCTTGCTGCACTGATGATGAGTTTAGCCGTGTGACACACTTTGGCCATGTGACACACTTTGACCAACGACATATTAAAGACAGTCATGCAGATATGAAATATAATTGCACAGCTGAACTTCCCTCCTGAACTCCTGCAACTTTCTTAAGAAGAATACGACCCTGAGTAGCCCACGTGCCCCAGAAGACTGAGGCACATGTGGAGAAGAGCCACCCCCAACCAACCTGAAAAATATGTGAACATGATGATAACATTTCCGTACACCACTAACTTTTGGAGTAGCCTGTTATGGTGAGAGTTGACTGATACAGAGTGCAGTAAGAATGCTGAGTACTTTATTTTTTTTTAATTTTTTTTTTTTAATTTATGATAGTCACAGAGAGAGAGAGAGAGAGGCAGAGACACAGGCAGAGGGAGAAGCAGGCTCCATGCACTGGGAGCCCGACGTGGGATTCGATCCCGGGTCTCCAGGATCGCGCCCTGGGCCAAAGGCAGGCGCCAAACCGCTGCGCCACCCAGGGATCCCCTGCTGAGTACTTTATTGAAGAGAAGCAACGTCTTTGAAATTTTGTAACTTGTAGCTATGGTTCGGTGTTTTGTTTATCTTTTGTAATAAAGTCAGTTAAATACCATTAAAAAAAATCCAGGCATATCTCTAGCATAGTTCAATGATCTCATGAATTTTAACAGAAAATAAAGCAAGGAGGAGAAAATGACTGGGGTGGAGAAGGAGGCTGAGTGGGAAGGAGAAAAACTGAAAAAATTTTCTTAGCTATGTTAGTAAGATGGGAGAGAGATCAAAAGAGGTGAACTATGAGAAAAATTCTGTTTATGGCACATAAGCCACCTTATTTGTAGTTTTCTCCTTTGTAATTAGCATCTTCCAGCTGTGCTTTTCCTGTCTTTGAAAACCTGCACCTTCACTTCCTACAATTATATGTTTTTGTTGTTGCTATTTCTGTTGTAATTAAGACCCTGGTCTTTCTTTCAAGGTTTGCACCTTTCTATTTACCACACTTCTGGTCTGCATACACCCTGATCCTCAACTAAAAATGTCCTGCATATGGTTCTCTCCTCCTGGACTAGCAACTTTGGATCTAAGATGGATCCCACCCACTTCCTTCTCTAGAGCTCTTTTTCTGAGCTAGAGGTCTTTTTGGTATGGATTTATATGCTACAATATAAGGAG